ACATAACACATGTGACTTATTTGAATTAGGATAAGCAGTTCCAGAAGTAGCTTATCCTAGAAAAGGAAGTAAGATTATCTGTTTCACCACTAACCTCCGTGCTTCAGAGACAGTATTCAAAAACAAGATTCTTTTTTTTTTTTTTTTCCTTTTTGTCTTTTTTCGTGACCGGTAACGGGATCGCAACCCTCGGTGTCGCCCCCGCACCACACTCAACCAGTGAGCGGACCAGTCTCTATATGGGATCCAAACCCTTGGCGGGAGCGCCACCGCGCTCCCAAGCGCCGCACTCTACCGAGTGCGCCACCAGGCCGGCCACAAAAACAAGATTCTAAAGTGCCTGATTGTCTTCCTGAAATCAGGAGAGGTACTTTTACTAACCCCTTACACTAAGAATCTCCCCTTGAACGTTCTGTTTTAGCAGGGGTCTTATTCTTAGGATCTTCCCTACATATTAAGCCTGCCTTGGAACAGGACACTATGAATTTAAGAAAGGGGATTGAGAACAGCCTTACAGCCCCTGCTCCTCCACATGCACATTTGGCCTTAAAATCCTGGTGAATTGGGGAGACACCTGTGGGCTCCTTATCCATAGGGTCTCTGCTCATCATGCTCAGAAGATGGTCACCCAAGAGTCTCTCCTGAAGAGTGTTTATTTTTAGAGGTGTTTATATTTAAGTAGTTATTTTATAAATAAAAGCATTTCTAATTGCCATGAGTGTGTTTTGATTTCTCTCCATGTTTAACCTGAACATTTTCCTCAGCCTCAGAAGGTATCTTCTTGATAATTCAGTGATTCCAGATTCTGGAAGAATGGGAGATGCTAACTGAAGAAATGCAGGTCAAAAATTTATTTCGTCAACTCTGTGCACAGAATTTCTGTATACTCAAAAGATGTACCTGCTGCAGGTAACTGCCTCTTTATTTTAAGCTGTCTCGTACTAGCAGAAGAGAAGAGCTGAAATCTCTAGCTGACGTCCCTACAGGATAAGTATTTTTCCAGTATTACAGATGTGGAAACTGATTCACTAGGAATTAACTAAAAAGGTCACACAGGACTAGCTCGGGCAAGGTTGGAGGCAGGGAAAGGGTTAACAAGAGTAGTGGCAGAGGTGGGATTGAGGACACTATGTTGGTGACAGTGAAACAATTACCCAACATTGTTAAGGAACAGAAAACAAATGTGGTAGAATAAGTAGACTCTTGGAAAGAAACTTACAGGTCACCTAGGCCAACTGTTCCATTTTTATGGACTAGGAAAATGGACAGAGACATTCTGACTTGCCCAAGTTATATATCGAGTTATTGATGGATTGTGAATTTAAACTTGGGCCTACAGGCTCTCGGAGTCTGTACACCTTTCCTGGAGCCAGACTAGCCTTGGACACTTAACAACTTTGTGACATTGGCAACTTGCCTAAACTATGCTTCAGTTTCTTCTTCTAAAGTAGAGGTAGTAATATGAGTACTGTTCACCTCATAGGGTTGCTGCAGAGATTGAATGAGGTAACACGTACTGAATGCTAGAACAAGACAGCAAGGTGGTGGAATAGGACTTTCCAGTGCTCGTTATCCCGCTGAAACATCAATGTGAACAACTATCCATGCATGAAAATGCTTTCACAAGGGCTAAGGAGACCGGGTGAGAGAATACAGCACTTGGATCCTGCAAAGAAATAAGACAAACCACATTGAAGAGGGTAAGAAGGACAGTTTTATGTTACCTGCTGCTCCCCCAACTCCAAGGAACACAGGATAGAGAGAGACATGCTTCTCTGTGTGGGGGAACAAGAGGGCAGTGCCCACCAGATATTGCCTTGGACTCCAACACTAGACCAGCCCAGTAAAACCCAGTGCCAGGCAGGACCCCATAGCCTCAGACTCCACACTGGTACCTGCAGACTGAACCTCCAGACCTACCTGCAGCATAGATGGTTCATGAGGGAATGTCCAGAGACCACAGCAGACACTCATGTTTGCCTAAGACTATTCTCCCGCCCATCTTTGCTAGAATAGGAATGACTTCTGCATTCTTTTTAATGCTGCGGGCGCAAGTTCTAGGATATGTCGTTCCCAGGGCTCTAGCTTGAGGAAAGCATAGGACAGAATGGGAAGGTGATGAGTGGCAGCAGTGCATCCAGCTGGGAAATGGAAGGAAATTATGTATGCAAGAGGCTTAACCATGGCCGCTTAGTTCTATGTGCCTAGTGTGAGTCAAGTCTTATCCTTCTCCTTATGTTCTACTCTTGATTAAAGCTATGAGGAAGAGAAACCCAGAAATCACTCCTGGATGGAGAAGGTACCGCT